TTCTGCACACTGCACTTCAGCATGCTCTGACCCTGCTCTGTCATTTTACCTGGCCTACCACTTCGTGGCTGAGTTTCTGTTGTTCCCAGTTGCTTCCACTTTGTTAGAATACCACTAACAGTTGACTGTGGAACATTTAGAAGCAAGGAAAATTTGGTCCTGTTTAAAAATATTGTGACAATGTGTAAATAAGCTCTTGCGATGACTGTATGATGGGGAATAAAGGTGTAGCTGATGTCTATACAGAGGAATGCCACCTCTTTGTCTCTTCTGTCCCTAATGGTAAAGTAAGTATACACTGATAGATTTTCAAACAAAGGTTTTTGCGAAAAATCTCATTTGAACGTTGCACACTTGACTAATGTCGTTCAAAATTTCCTTTGATTTAACATTCATTTAGGAATGAATGGAGTTTCCTAATTGAAAACCACATTCACTTTTAGAATTTCATTTGATTGAGACAAAATTTCCAACATGCTCTTTCGACTTTTTTTGTCACTGTAATCGAAAGTGATCATCAATTTGACCCCATGAATTCTTAGAAAAATTAAACGTAAGCCAGGAATAGGAGGGAATCTTACTGACTAGCAGAGGTGTGCGTCATAGGAAAAGCTGGCCAAAATTACACATTCTTTGGCAGTGAAAACAGTAATCATATACAGTGGTACCTCGGTTCACGAACTTAATTCATTCCACGATTCTGGTCGCAAACCGAATCAAACTGTGATCAGACTGCGATCTCGACTAGGGGAATATTTGAAATAGAAGCCTTGTTGCACTCCTTACCGGAACCTTAGTAAACCCGTAAAAACAGGTGGGTGCTTGTAGTGACCACGGACAGCACCGTGAGTAACATAGAAAAAGCAATAATGTCACCAGCACACCAAATTGATAATAGCAAAAGTCCATTTAATGGCAATTTGTCATTAAATGGACTTTTGCTAATATCAATTTGGTGTGGTGGTGACATTATTGCTTTTTCTCGACTAGAGGAAGCCACAACCATGTGTCAAAGCAGGGAAGAGGGCTGCGGTTGTGTTAGTCACCCAATGAGGAGTTCTTGAACGGGAGCAAAATTTTGCCAAACGTCTGTTCGCAAACCGAATTGATCGTGAACAGAAGTGTTCGTGAACCGAGGTACCACTGTATATGTATATCAACCATGTACTTGGCTGTTTGTCTGGCATTCACTACTAATTTTATAAAACATTTTAATAGCAGTGCTCTATACAGTATATTGGAAAGGGTCATAACATGTTAGGCAGAAATATATTTTATTAAATTATACAGCATAAATCAGGTTTCATAATGCTATGTATCTTGGATTCTGCAATTACACTTACGGTATTTTATGACAGAACATACCAGCAGATGATAGAATAGAAAGTACCTAAATTCAAATTACAGAAATCATCAAGATAGCCTTTGCACAGGGTCATCAACATAATGCTCAATAAACTCACTGTATATAAACTAGGGCTGGTAATGATAAAAAAAATTTTGTGTTCGATTAATTTTGATTATAACGCACATACAGACCCAACTACATTGGCCTATACACATACAGCACAGCAATGAAGTAATAAAATGAACTAGGATCACACTAATCCAGCACGTTATTAATCTCACGTGCCCCACTCAATATGGCCGCCTCTTGAGTGGGGCAACTCTGAATAATAACGTGCTGGATTAGTGTGATCCTAGTTCATTTTATTACTTAATTGCTGTGCTGTATGTGTATAGGCCAATGCCTTGGCTGGTGCAGAAAGTTTCTTGGGCAAACTCACCGGCCCAAGTGGCTCCGTCGGCTAACGAAGGGGGGAGGAGTCCGGTGACGTCACAGACATTGACGTCACCGGACTCCCCCCTTCCCTTCGTTAGCCGACGGAGCCACTTGGGGAAGGGGGAGAAGTCCGGTGACGTCGATGTCCGTGACGTCACCGGATCACCAACGGGACTTCCGGAAGCCGGCGGTGAGTGTTTTCCTTAGCGATCAAAATTTTAATCGATCAAAAAGTTTAACGATTAATCGATAAATTAATCTTTAATTTCCACAGCCCTAGTATAAAACAGAAATAGTCTTTTGAATATAATATACAGTATTTTAGAATATTTAGGCTGGTCTTCCACTAATGTTAAAAAGAGTTACTTTTTTTTTTTATTATCCTTCCTTCCCCGTACTTTATCTTTTCTTGTTCCTTGCTGCATTCGTTACACCCCTTTGCTCCTCTCTGCTGCCTATCCTATTTTCCTTGTTTCATTATTCCTTACAAGATCATTAAGGATCTCTTTTATAAGAATAATAATTTGTTTTCCATCTGGTTGGGGCCTCGTGAGGCCAAATGCTTCTTGATAACAAGCAAAGGTTGTTTTCTCATAATTATACAAACTGATATGCGTCATGATTGTATCATCTGCTCCCGCTGAGGTAACATTTTGCCAGTTCTGCAATGTTTTTCTAAGATGATGTTCCATTTGCTAACAAGTTCTATATCCGCTTATGTTAGTGGTTATATTTCTGATTTGTTTGTAAATGCTGTTATGTTCTTTGTACAACAAAGGAAGTTAAATAAAAAAAAAAGGGATACTTTTGAAGGGAGTTTCAATTCCTGCAAAACTCCTCCCAACCGAACAGTTTAGTATACTTTTGCAGGGTACGTCGGTATGGCCTGTATATTCCAAATAAAGAAGAGAGAGGACACAAACTGACTACACTACCATGGCTGTGTTCCTAGCGAATGTTCTTCCAAAAAAATATAAGACTGTCTTATTTTCGGGGAAACACGGTATGTATAATACAGTCACAAAAATACAATAGTCCAAACAAAATCTACCAGACTTTCTGTGAATACAGTGATGATTGTAACAACTTCTGTGGCCAATTCAATACTTTAATCCTCCACCTGCTCCTGTGTGATAGTGTCCACGCACCCAATGTAAAAGTTGCTCACCTTAGACAGAGACCTTCAATTCAGGTTTCCCAGCACAGATCTCTATGTTACTGGACACCCAAACCTGAAGGAATAATTTCTCACTCTCAAATCTTGCAATATTAAAGCTGCCCACGTTCAAATAGCATGAAGAATAAAAAACAGAAACCATAGTGCAGATCATAAAACTAAGGAAAGTTTAATATTGAAAAACCTTACTCACAAGAGACAATCCCATAAAATAGAAAAAAAAATAGCACTGCGCTTCAACAAACTCAAAATATATTCCCAAAAAGTGAGAAAAATGTTATAAATTGTGAAATTATCACAAATTGATGAAACAATTGTGTTATCCACAACACTTGCACAATAAAAAAACCCCATAAAAATGCAATGAGAGGAGTCCGGCAATAGTGTAGAAACTGACACTTCTTCATGTAACTCTGGCTCCGCCCTCTGTGACGTCAGAACGCTCCGCCTCATGTACCTTACGTCAATCATGACTTTGTCAGGGGCATAAGATATTTTTCCCAACACATCCTGTAGGATATGAAGGTAGCTTTTCCTAGTGGGGGGACACATATGCCAGGGAAAACCTGATGGAGGCTTTAAGCCTACACCATTATAAACACAAATAGGGTTCTGCCATTTGTTGCATTGCGTTGACTTGCGTTAAACAGGCGTTACGTTGCACTGAAAAAAGGTAAAGCCTGCATGAGTTTTTTCTACATATTGCAGCAGACATCAAAGCAACGCACAGGTGTGAACTGCTCCCATCCACGCCCATTCATTTGCAGATGTCCTTGCGTTGGCATCCCTTTAAATATGGAGAAAATAGTGTATACGAAACTACATGAAGGTGCTACAATTTGTACCCTTAAGATTTTATACCAATAAACACTATAGAATATATTTTAAAGAAATCTAAATCACCAAGTAAAAAAAAAAAAAAAAAAAAAAATCAGTAAAAAAAAAAAAAATCAGAGTTAAAAGCAAAATTGAGTAATGTTTGTTAAATTCTTACATGTCCAGATGTTCATTTGCAAAATTGTTCTGCTAGGTTACAGCTCCTGTGACTTCCAGCTTGGCCTCACGAGAGCTTTTCCGACAGCCCGGGGCACCGATGCAGGCCTGACACAGCATTATGAACTGTTGAGGAGCTGCTTCTAACTATGCAGCTGCCTGCTGCTCATCTCCAAATAGCCACCTGCTTTACAATAAGAGTCAATAAAGCCACGCTGCTTTGACGACACTTTTCTTCAGTAACATGACCAGTTCCTAAGTCACCCAACACTAATTGAGCTGGCCTGCTCCCTGATGCACACACTACAGCATCTAGGGACTTGAGCCTCAAAGTGTGCTAGGCCCTGCTGAAGTCCTAAAGAAAATAATGGTGCTCAGCAGAGAAAAGAGCACTTTTGGGAGGCATTAACCCTTTCGCTGCCACCAAAGTATGGCATATGGCAGAACAAACCGCTATCAGTATGCCATAAGTCGGTGGCTTTTACCCTTATGCTATAAGCTCATGGTCGACCATGAACCTACACTAGAAGGGATCCCATGACCCTCCCCTGTAAAATAAAAGCTGTCATCAGCGGCTTCCCAAAACAATGGGGAAAAGTATGGCAAAAATGGTCTGGTCAGCTGAGGTTAAATGCGTTCAAGGGCTTGGCAGAAAAAGGGTTAAAGGGATTTTTTTGGGGACACTGAGCATCTGCAGAATAGAGTAGGAAATGCCAAAAAAGACACATTATCTACGTGTATCAAGTAACTAATCCAAAATGAAGGACTGTTGTGTTGGATATGATTAAAAAGTACAGAGAGAGATAAAAGCACAGTATTTGGGTTGTGCGTTGTGCCCAGCAGACCACTATAAGAGAGAGACAAGCAGTGTTACAACGCAAGGCACCGTTTACCTTTTGTTTTTTAGATTTATTGAAACACAATGACATTAATTTTCATGCACTGCAGCAGAGCCTGCATTGGTCTGCTCAATGGTGTTAATGAGCTCTAAGCACAAATAAAGAAAATGTAAATTTTATTATTCAACAAATACATTTGTAACCATACATGTCAAACCTTATGTCTACCTTCAGAAGCAGACGGCTTTGGGTCAGAAGACGTTTTGACACAGTAGAACATGACTGAAGGTATAAGGTCAAGAGAAAGTAACATGATGTTTAACTCTTAAGGTGAAAGGCAGAAAAGAGGAGTATCCATCATGCTTGTACTGGAGTAGTCCTGGCTCTGGATCGTCTAGGCTTCTTCTCTTGTAATAACCCTGCAGCTTTCTGCTTCTTTACCTCCTCATATACCTATTACAAACAAAAAGGGAAAGTTACAGAGAAACGGGCAGAGATAAATACATGTACATGTGACAGAGAAAGCACCTTACACAAAGCAAAATACCTGTTCCGGAAGCTTTTGTTGGAAGCGGTAATTCTTGGGCTTTTAAGGCACATGCTAGTCAAAGGTTAGCCCAAGGTGCAAAGGCTATAAAAGTTTTGCAGTAAGTGAAGGCACTGCCCCAGAACTAGTATGTGGCTGGCAATTAGACAGTCACTTCCATCAAATATTGATATCGTTTCAGAATATATTTCCTTTCCATGCTGGAAAAAAAAGCTGCAACACTGCTGCTTTGCAAACATGAATAGCAGGAATCCTACAAATAACTTTTTCAGTGTCCTGCGATTCCTGAAACTCAAGATTTTATGATATGCAAATTCTGGCTTTTCTTCCAATAGTTAGATTTACATTGAGGCTGGATAACCTCATCATTACAAGGTAAAGTCAATATTTATAGATCAGAGCTCCTCCTTAAGTCCCAGGGGGGCTGTAGACAGGTGTGGCCCTGAAGGTGCCTTTTATTCAGTCACATTACTAATTCAATTGCATTAAAAAAATTTTTGTTAATGCAATTGCTTGCTTTATAAGTATTTCTACTTAACCTGTAGATGTAATCCCTATTGATCTTCGTGGCATTTAAAACATAAAAGAGCTTTAAAGTGACATTTAAGTCAAAAAATGTTAGCTCCCCCCAATGTTAATGTCAGCACTTACCTTAAATGAAGTTTCTTAATCCGACCTTCTTCTTTCCAGTCCTTTTCATCTGTCCCTCCAGCGCTGCGGCGGCTCTCCGATCCATCGCTGACTCCTCTGTCCTTGCTGGCGCTTCCTCTCCCACGGTGTCTGCATGTGGGTGCACGCATCCATAGACTTACCTTGCGTCTCTCCTCGCGTCCCGGACGAAAATGTGATCTGCACATGCGCCCGCCCGAGATTTTTCACATTTTCGGATGGGAGCGTGCGGGGAAGACACAGGTAAGTATTAACCCTTTTCAGAGCGTTTTTAAAAAAACAAACACTTTTTGCATATATCTACTGCTGGCTAGCCGTAGATATATGCAAAAGCACCCAAGGCTTTAATGATCCTTTAACTATATCAGCCTCTGGTACCAAGACTCCAGCTCAGTGTTCATTTACTTCCGGTGTGTTGGTGTGCAGACCATATACATTATGCTAGTGTTCAGCAGAAGAAACACAAATGTTATTTTTGGACACCCCAGTAACAAACCAGTCCTGCTGGCTGCTGAGTCATTTTTACACCTTTAGATTTGATGGTGAGGTGAAAGTACAAAAAGACCCTTGGCATGTAATTCTATCTCCTATAAGATTTGTTTATGTAACACCACATCAGTCTCACAGAAGCACTGTTGGAGAACTATGAAGCTGGCAATGCACAACAGACAGTGATCACATGTTATCTGATGATCAGTCCACTGTCACATATCACTTTCCCCTGAAATACTCATACACAAGGATTAATTGTGTCCTATCTGCTGACATTGCCGTTACCTATCCCTCAATAAAAAACAGAACAAAGCTGGTGAAAAAAATGCCACCTACTCCAAAAATCTCTTGCTGACTGGCAACACAGCTTACAAAGAGCAACGACTGAAGATTTCCTGCATCATAGGAGTGGAGTATTTTTTTTCTAAGTCATGCTGAGGTGGAGAAGTGGGTACCCACTGGAGGAAACAAATCACATTTCCTCAAATGGGTCCTCGCAGTTAGAAAGAGTTTTAACATGACTTCTGCAGTATGTGGCCATTTATTTGCAAATTTGGCTCAGCGGATTTTTACTCTAAATAGATTTGCTGCAGTTAACCGACACAGTCCAACATCTTTCCACAGCAAGCTAATGAAAACCAATTAAGACACATCACAATTGTATGTGACCCTTTCTTGCAACAATAGGGAAATACACACCTTCAAGCATAAAGCTTTCTTTGCTTGCCATCTCTTGGTTGCACGTCTGTAGTACTCTGGAGGGAAGGTATATTCAATATTCAACTCTTTGCATACGTGCTCAAAAGTATCATAACGAGTCAAACGCAGGGTTTTTAACATCTTTTTTCGACGATCTATTGTCATCAGCATCCTTCTCTTGTTTGCCTTGTCCTAATTGGGAAAAAATAAATTAAATACGTTTCTTGGAACAAAGCCCACTTTTTGAAGGATGTATATATGATAGAGATAAGAGTAATTTTATGAGAAATCTTATTAACAACAAGCAGACATTCATAACTTGGTCATTATCTACTATGAAATTTCACAATACAGACCTCATATAACAAATCATAAAGAGTTATTTGGAAACATATGTCTTTAACCATCTACATGTAATATGGAAAAATCATCCCTCAGGAGAGGGAGAGACTGCACTGTATATATGTGTGCTAGTGTGAGTAAGAAGGAGGGCAGTAGATGGCTGCATTGCATGAGTGAGTGTGGAGAGGGGGACAGAGGTGAGCAGTACTGGTAAATTATGGCTTTGGGGGGGGTTGCTTTTGGAGGGAGAATTTTGCTGGCAATCAATCACAGAGGCAAGTGTTGAAAAAGAGATATGTGGGGAGCAAAAGTGAGTGGTGCATAGTTGCCTTTGGGGGAATTTTTCTTTAAACGGGAGAGGGAATATTATTTGCTTGAGGTAAGAATAGGTTATTGGGGATATTTTCCTGAATACCGTTGCTGTGTGTTAGGTAATCCTGACCCCTGCACTCTGTATGCAACATACTCTTTATTCTGATGTACGGTACACACACCTTACTGTTGTGTGTTACATACTTATGACTGCTGCACTCTGGACTGCACATTACAAACTATACATTATACACTCCTAATCCCTGCAGTATTTATGCCAATATTAGCTTTATACTCATTGGGGGTGATTTACTAACCTAAACACACGCACGAGGTGCGTGTGATTTTTACACAGCAAAACGTATTTATCAACCAAAAAGTTTCTAAAAGCATATTTCCACTAATGCCATATATGGAGAAATCATGCACATGATGCATATATAATGCTGCTTCACAGTTTAGACAAAAATGGTTAGCTCATGCATTTACATTCCTGCATTCATCAACGCAAGCAACACAATGTAGATCTAATTTACACAACATCACCTTGCAATTCATGCAGGGCTTTGCACAACACACCTGCTGGGTGTGTACACACTACAAAAGGTGTCTAGATTCCACCAATAGATCATGCTGGGAGGGAACACACTACAGAGGTGTATACTTGTTCGTGGCGTGTGTATAAGGTTAGTAAATCAACCCCATTGTCTCAACAGTTGTTGGTCCTTGACTATTTTAATTAAGTTGTTCTTTAAGGAAAGCTCAGGCAAAGCGTTTGCTCTCATTCTATTCTGCACACAGAATATAGACAACGTAATGAAAGAGATTCATTACAAGAGACTGCTCTAGGCATAGATTCATGCAGATGGCAAAATCCCAGGCTATCAGTGTCAGGCCCTACAGTGGGTGCACTGCAGGCAGCACTGAAACTATTAGTGAATTGGGAGCTAGAGGCACCCTATACAGAGGGAAAGTTCCCCATGTGTCTAGAAACTGGCATGCTGAACCACAGGTAGGGGCAACTTAGCTCAGGGTGCAAGGCTAGGCCTTGAATATTCCTGAACCAGCTGCTGGTAGCAGAAGAGGTTTAGGCAGCCAGAGGTGACCAGGCCACTCGAGATGGACAACAGAGGTGAACCAAGGATATATCCACATGTTACTTATGGTCAAAAACAGAAGGTGCTTGTCTAGTTGCTAGCAGCATGACTTGTGTAGCGTTTCTGGTACTGTTGTTCCTCTTTGGCGCCCTTTTTATGCTCAAACCAGTTACATAATTATTCTGCACCACTGGTAAAACTCCTGGCAAATTCCGGTCTCAGAGTAATGATACAAACACCTTCTCAATAGTTAATCATCAGCTTTGTCCATTCAGTCTCCACCCTTGAGTTTGTTCTGGTCAACCAACTGTGCTGCAGTTGTTCCCGATTTCTGTGGCTCTGGATGACTGATCTCCTGTTTCCTGACTCTGGCTTTGTTTCCGTTCATCCTGCTCTCAGTCTTCCCTGACCTGGTTCGGCTGACTACCCGCTGTGGCTTCTGGCCTCTATAGCTTGGCTCCGACGACGTCCCAGACTTTCTCCATTGTTTTTGCATTAATGTTTGTTGTTTTTAATACACTCATTTTATATTTTAAACCTGCACTTTAAGTTCCCATCTGGTTTCTTGGTTTCCTGACACCAAGCCAAGTTCTCATTATTAAAATCAATGTAATATATACGGAAACCATCTAAACACTACAGTCACATCGCATTGATTATTCTGCCCTGTCAGCACCATAACAAGTACTCTATCACCTGACTAGCATCCCCAGAAGAGGGCATGCTGGATTGTGAATCTTGGCAGCACATCAGTGGAGTTCATATAATTACAAAGTGCAACCATAGTGGCTAACCATAAGTGGAAAACGTTTGAGTAAAAACCTTTTGTGGATATACATTATATGCGTTTAGCGTATTTAGCATCAGTATCTCTGCAGATATAAAGAGATATATAAGCATATTGTGAACAACAGAGACAATATATTCATACACAAATCATCATTATAAACACTAAAAGACTTATTATCCGAGACAGTTTTCTGCAGTAAGGAAGTATTTGGTGCAGTTAAAGTGGACCTTCCATTGCAGATGAAAAGGATCACTTTTTAGCCAGCCGATGACCCCCAACACAAATATCTTTAAAAAGTCATTTGTAAAGAAGAAAAAAAAAATAGTGCATGCAGCATTTTTCCCCCGCACCAGAACAGACTGCAATGGTGTGAACAGAGCCCAGAAATACCATAGGAATACATTGTGATGCATTTTAGGTGCGGATAAAACTGTTCTGGTCCGGACATGGTGTGAACAAGCTCTAAAAGATGCAGAAAGGGGTCATTTGTGCTTTGGTTTTACATTATTGATAAAACCACAGTCTGTACTCTAAAATCATCCTCCATTGGGCATATGGATTACCCTGATGCAGGGAAAGGATTTTGAAACATATGATGTTACACAGATATACTCTATTTACAGAGTAACTTTGCTCTGTAGGAGTCCTTCATACCAGATAAAGCTTCTTGCATGCTTACAGCGAGTGATGTTCTTTTGTCTGAATAAAAGTGAGAGAATTTCAGAAGAAACATTTGGGGCAAAGTTATCCATCATCAAAAAAAAAAAAAAAAAAAAAAAAAAAAAAGGTACAGTATTCTGTCATGCATTACCTTTCCTCTACCGTACATACTTATAAGGTTTTTGTACACTGCTCACCTTTGGGTGCAGTTGTATGTGCTCCTTGAAATTTTGGATTCTGGCTGTCAAAACGGCAACTGCAATTAAAAACGCGAGTTAATAGCACTCAAACTCCCAAAAGTCAGTCAGTTGAATAAAAATGGATATTTTAGCTTTGAATAGATACTAGAGTATCAAATCACCAAACAATTTTTTGGGAACTTCTTAGTGAGATCTGAACAAGTGTGCCAGCCTGCATGTGTTCACATAATAATTTTAATGAACCAGTATGCCAAAGCTTGCAAAGAAGGCTTTAGCCATGAGACTAGAGTTAGGAAATACAGACAAACAGTTGTGTAACTCATCACAAGTGGAAAAAGGAAGATCACATGAAGAACAGCAGTGATGTACAATGAGGGTAGAGACAGGAAAGAAAAAAAACAAAATATGTGTGCTGGAGGAAAGATAAAACATGGAGAAAATAAGAAGACAATAAAGAGCAACAGTAGAGAAATCTTTGTAGAACTTATATTTAACTACTGACTGACAGGAGAGGACAGCCAATTCTTTCATTTTCAATAAAATTGAGTGCTCGGTTCTTTGGGTAGCCCAGAAGTGCCGCTGTCAGGGTAAACAGTAAATTGAAAAGATTGGAAATCCTGTCCAGATCATTACTGATCCCCTGGCTAATAAGCCCATTCAAATAGTTTGAAGGGAATTTTGCCATGTGTGCATTTTAGGACAAGTGCTGGCCTATTGTTTTGACGATCTATTCTTAGATCCCATATAGTGTTGGGATCTGCAGTAGCTATTGGAAGCTACTACGCATGGTTGTATATTAAGATTCTGGATACCTAAAAGGTTGACTTATGGTGCCCACATGCAACAATCTGAGGCAAACTGACCTATGCATGTAGTTTTGGTCAGTCAGTCAAGAGGCACTTAGGCTGGCCAGAGCATTTTTTGCCAATGTAACTTTTTTTTAAAACTGAAATCTTTTCCAATCAATTTCAAAACTGAATAAATGGCAATCGTGGTATTTTCATAGAACTAATCAATTTTTAAGTTGCCTTTTCAAGTCCTGAAAATGTGACAAAAAACACGATGATTGAAAATGGGAATCCTGGATTCATTCAAACATTTTAGACTGACTCAAAATGAAAGAAAAGAATTGAAAAGTGCTGAAAGAATGAAAGATGGTATTCTGGTTTATATTTCATGAGGTTGTGTTGTAGGATGAATATTTAAGGCTGTATTCACTGATTCTTCTCATCCTGACTTATACAAGAATGTTGTAACAAGAACTCTTCACACGATTTAGGAACAGGAAAATAGTAACTTCCACTTAATGCAACACTGTCCACACCTCAGGAAATCTGCTTAGCTAAACCATTGCACAACTCTAATTGTAATGAAAGTCTTATACGTAGGACTTAAAACCTGAATGGCACAGCCACTACAAATCAATAAAATAGAGACACAGAAGCGGACAGCAGAAAGAGCCTGACTTTGTTTTTGTTTTTTCTGTAGCTTTAGATGTGTAGATTTGCCAGATAATCACAAACACTGGGCAGATTGATAACCTGCCACTGAATTTATTAAAGAATTAAACATTACTTACCCATTTAGGTGTAGTGAATTTAAAGAATATCTGCAATTTGATAGAAAACATTTCCCAGGCAGACATGGGAACTTTAAAGCATTAAAGTGACACTAAAGTCAGGAGTTAAATCTTAACAATGCATTTATGTACCTCAACTATTAACATTACTAGACCTTACTTATGTATCACTCAGCCGTAGATCCTCAAATCATCTCTGAATTCATACTGACATTGTCATTCCTTCTGGAGGGTGGCTACTTATGTTCCCCCATGCTCCCTGTGTATGTTGTAAAGTAACCACCTCTCCAAGCTCACTCCCAAGATGGACTAAAATCTCACATTTAGTATACCAAGTCGTATTGAAAATATAGTCCTTCACAGGAGTGAGCTTGGAGCGGTGGCTACTTTACAACACACACAGGGACCATGAGGAACAAAAGTAGCCCCCCTCCAGAAGGAAGGACAGTGTCGGCACCAATTCAGAGATGATTTGAGGATCTACAGCTGAGTGATACACAATAGGGTACAATTTTGATAATAGTTAAGGTAGGTGAATGTATTTTCAAGGTTTAACTCCTGAACATGAGTGTCACTTTGAACTATGTGGTATTCTCTGATATAGAACAGTCAGCCTGCAGCCAGTGGAGCCAGCTTTACAGCCTCCTGCTCGGCTATGGCTATGAGAAGCACTTCAGACAAGTGGGCAAATCTGACTCATGCTGGTGACAGATGATGGGCAAGGTGGGGAAGACTTACCCATTTGTCTCTAGTTCTGAGACTTGGCCCAGCACTTCCCTTAGTCACAGTACAACAGGAAGTAGTAAAAGGTGGTGCTGTACTGTCTAAAAAGCAGCCCACATGTGCCCTTACAGGGGACCCATCTACTCTTGGCAGAGTCACAATGTAATTTCCAGTCCAACGGTGGTGGAGGGAGAATATTCCTCTAGTGAATAACTGAGGTAATAGCCAAACATTAAAAAAAACAAAACAAAAAAACACAATGTGCCTTCAAAAAAGCTAAAAGATGGTGTTCCCAATTGTAAATCTAGCCATAAATAGGAAAAACTACCTGCCTTTGAAAGGACTGCATTCCAATGTGTACTAAATCATCTCATTAACTCTCAAATTCTGCTAAGCTCAATTCAGAAAATAAAACATTACCTTGACATCCAGTCTATATTATTCACATTACATAATGACAGATACAAAAAAAAGAATTCGACCTACAGATTATGCTCATGAAAATCTCTCTTCCAAAACAGATCATAGTACTCACTTTGGACTTCCTTAGATGTTTTATCCTCAGGATTTCTTTTCACTTTATCCACGAGCTGCTGGGTTTTCATTTTGAGCTTATCGGACTAAAAGACAAAGAAAGGCACATTATTCAAGTTACAGTGCCTTTTTTTTAGGTTCTTCGATATATGCAATTATGCAAGAAAAGCATTAAATGTACCTCACAAATCCACCCATGTATAAAACAAACTAGAAGGGTATTCTTCCATGTGAAGGTTTACTTAACCCCTATTCCCAGCAGAATACACCTATTCATCACTTCCCTTAGGCCTGGTTCACACCTGGGCGTTTTACAGCGCGTTCCTAGGCTCTGTAAAACGCTAAACATGTGAAAACCAATGATTGCCTATGGGCATGGTTCCCACCTGTAAAACGCCCACCTGGGCGTTTTACAGCGCGTGGGAACGCACTGCAAAACGCCCAAAGAAGTACAGGAGCTTCTTTGGAGCGTATTTGCCGCGTGTATCCATTGGGATACAGCCAGGTAGCCCTTGGAAACACGCGTTTGTCGCACGGTTTTTTACCGCGAATCGCGGTAAAAACGTGCGACAAACGCGCATATTTCGATAGGCCTAGGTGTGAACCCAGCCTTACACAGTTCAGCCATTGGAAGCAAAAGAGAGAAAGCCCAGTGTAAGCTCCAAGTCTTGATTTGGAGCTTACATAGGACTGAAGCCTCTCTAACCACCCCTATGTGACAGTGCTGGGCCAATCAAAAGCAATAGTGCTGTCAGTCACATGCTCCCTCTTACCCAGAAGCACTAGGGGTGTCTCTTCACTACCATTGGCCAAACAGAGCAATGGAGGAGCAAAGGAAAGGTGAATATGTACAGCTGCAGAGGTGTAGGAAGGGAGGCATTAAGTGAACCTGCTATTTGCCCTACATGGGGAAAAAAAACAATTCTGAACATAGTGCGCTATTGCCCGATATATAGCACACTGCAGCCGGGAAGGATCCCAACAATATTGTTGGGATTCAACCCGCTGCCCGATTGACAGCAAGCTCTGCCTCTCTATACCCAGCTGTGCCCGCACTGTCCCCCATTTGTTCCTCCAGTCAATGCTGGCGTAGCGGAGAGGGAATCCCTGCGGGGAGTGGTGACTGACAGCATCTCTGCAGGGAGAGGATCGGGTAGTATGTGATTGATCAGTTCCCATCAATAGAGACAACATGTGACAGCTTTAGTGTCACAAGTTGGCTCTAATTATGGGGATGAGTGTATTTCACTCTCCCCATAATTCTCCTTTAACCTTCTTGTCATGCAGCTTTTTGTCCATGTACAGTACATGAGCTCTAACGTATGCACACACTAAAAAGGACCTGACATGATAAAGAAAGCAGGATATACAGTAACTGAAAAGACGACAACTGCCTAATTTTGCCGACCTTCTCCTTAGCAGTACTGTTTACTTACAGAAAAAAAAAAAAATGTAGGCACAAGATAATCTTTCGTTGACGTCCAACAAGTATGTAGATTGTGATACTTTATAAAACGGGTATTAAAATGAGGATCTAATCTATTTGACTCATTTTTCCAGATAAAAAAAAAAAAAACAGGAATACTCACCTGACTTGCCAAGTCTAATGACAAAAGCCTTTTGACAACATCATTAACCCTGGGAGGGAAAAGAAAGAAGAAACATCTTAAATACAATTATATAGGATCTTCACTACTCTACTATTCAGTATACTGCAGACAGAGCATATCTGTAGCCTGAGCTATCACTTCTCTATCATGTTAATTGTTGACTTTTTTACATTGGAACAGCACAGTGCACAGACTTAAAGCGTGATAAAGAACTTTACACTTTAACCACTGAAATATTTAGCAGTATCTTACAATCTTATGAGCCTTTTAGAAAAACAAGAACGTTTAGGACTTTACCGTATGAGCTCATTCACATGGATGTACAAGCCCCAAAAAAAGAGCAGGTCCACGGAGGGACAGGTGCTGCGTGTAATTGCGCACAGCAGCCTGTTCTTCCCTATGCAGAGATGCGGCTCCACGCAATTACAATCTGTCACACAAATACCTAAACCTGCGCACCCGTGCAGGTCCTGGTGCTTGCACTTGGATGCACACCGTCTGCGTATAATTGCATGCAGCCGCATCCTCCCATAGGTAAGAACAGGCTTCTGCGCACAATTACATGCAGCACACCATATAAACATGTACACCCATATGAATGAGCCCTAGGGGGCATAAGATACATAAACTTACATTCAGATTGCTTCTCCGCCGCTCCAATCCACTGCTGGCCTACCTGGGAAATACACAATATTTCTAGGTAGGGGAGGAACAAGAGACACCCCTTTAGCCCAAACAATGCAGTGCTTGGTGACTGAATGGCCAATTGCCAGGCCTGAGTGCTATCACATGGGGGATGACGGAGTGTGCATAACCCCTGTATACCTTTGAACTATGCTCAGACAGCTGAATCATAGACTGCAAACTTATGCAGGCCAGTGGTAGATCACAGTGTCGAGGTAAGCAAGTGGAAGGTGGGAAAACAGATCACCTTCAAGTGTTATAATCTGTATGGTTCTCACTGCTACAAACAAAATAGAGAAATGTCAATAGGGTAACAATCATAATGGCTAGACTGCATGCTACAGATCACAACATCTGTTAATATCGTGACATCCTTACTTACTCTTCAACTTTTTGCAATCCCTCATATTCCTTCTTAAGCAATGTGGGTGGCAAATCATCCAACTGGCTACTAATTCCTGAAGGATAAAAAACACATGCATATGTTAAAAAGAGAAATGTGACCTTGGCTTTGCACTTGAATAAGGTTTTTCAATAACAGTTATTCTACAGACCTTGTTCTGCAATGTTTGTGCGGTTTCACCACTCATCCAAGTATCTTCCTCAATTCTGAGGATCAGCAGCAAGGCTTGGACGAGTGCTGAAATGTCTCTAACATTAAAGTACAAGTCTATTTGAAGGTGACAAACCTCTACTAGATGAACTATAATCTGGATGAATGAGAACCCCCATTTCAGTGATGCAGAACAGTGGAAACAAACTGATCCCAATCCTTCATAAATGTGACAATAAAACAAACAATCACACCTGGGACAGTTTGTTAAAAAAAGACCTGCATGATGTAGTTTGCCAGCAAAATGCACAGTTCACGGGGATGAGTGGTAATACAGTAAACACATCTAATGCAGGTCTCTAAAACATCACAGGTGTGAATGTAGCCTGATAAGGTAGATACAATGGATTTATTCATTCTTGTATATATTCCTATATGGCTTTTCTCCCTGGGGACTCAAAGCTCTTTATCTGCTGTTTAAAACAGACAGTGATGCAGCCATCTTAGGCATGGTTAATGGGGGGGATTGATCAAAACTGGAGCAGACAGATCTGGAGCAGTTGCCCATGGCAACCAGACAGCATCGCTCTTCAGTTTGAAAAAGAGTCAGAGAAGCTGATTGGTTGCAGTGCACATCTGCTCCAGATTTTGATAAATCCCCCCTCCCCCCCAATTGATGTCCAAAGCAGAAAAATAATCTTAGTAAGTAGCCGACAGCATGCATTTTATATCGTTAGTTTAAAAAATACCGACCTTCTCTTGTCTTTGCATACGTCCTGGCAACCTGAATAAGACTTGTGCCTGAAAAAGAAGACTGCTTTTTTTATCTGGTGAAGTTATGTTAAGCATTCTACAGAAGTATATATATACACACACACACACATACATACACACACTGAGTGGCCAGTTTATTATGACCACCTTTATTATAATACAGAACTCAAATTTGGTGGTAAAAAAAAACTCTGTAAGTCAGTTTTATACATTACAAAAAGTTCTGTTTTAAGCTGACATGGGAATTCCAAACGCAGATCAACTGTCTGTTCAGTTAAGCTTTGAAAATAAAAAAGGTGGAAGCTGTTTGGTTGTCATGGACAACTGCCCCAGATTCTGTCTGATGCAGTTTTGATTAATTCCCATCACGGTGTATAGAACATGATGATTTACAGACCATCGACTGCTGCAGCAGAGGGGGAAGAGAGGCTCCAGGGACCGGTCTAAGAGCAAGCTGTCTCTGAGGATCAGGAGAGTATAACTTTGTTATTTTTCTCCCTAGAACAAAACAAGCACGTAACCCTCACAGTGTGGTGATAGTTCCACTGCAAGGGTTAATAATATTAATAATAAGAGTTCTGCTTTAAAGGTGGTGGATATTAGTGGCTAGGTATGTGTGGGGGTTTGGTGCAAACCCAGTTCACCTGTGTTTGCAAAAAAACAGACAAAAAACTGTGACTGACATCCCCCCCCCCCCCCCCCCCCCCACCAAACAAATTTCACCCCGCCTTACCAACCCC